TTGCAAAACAGTTTTGTTACAAACCAGTGGCCTGGTGCATGGATTCATTCACATTGAAAGAAAATTAATTAGAAGAAAGATTCGTGTGGTAATTACATTACTGCAAAAAAATTACATGTCAAAATAGTATATCTACACTAATAAAAGACAACGATGCTAACTGACCATACCTTTGCTATGCCAAAGCCACGCCCACCAGCCAATCAGAGCGACTATATGCAAATAACCCAACCAAGATGGTGGCCGGCAGCCACGGAGCTGGAGCAAGCAGGAGGCTTGGTTGCCCCGGCAATGGAGGAAGCCAAGCTTCCCGCCTGCTCTGGCTGGCTATGGCCTCCACAAAGGGCAACAAAGTTTCAATTATAGAAGCTAAACAAATCCCAGATACCTGCTTCCAGCCAGCCTCCACTGGGAGCTTGGGTGGCTGGGGGTCGTGGCCAGCCTGCAAACAGCCATCAGCCCCTCAACCAGGATGGCCTGGCACCCCAGTGGGGACCCCTACTCTGAAGAGGCTGTGGCCAGCCTGCAAAAAGCCATCAGCCCTTCATCCAGGATGGCCACACCCTCATGGGGTGAGGGTCCCTGCTGGGGGGCTTGGTCAGCCTGCAAACAGCCATTAGCCCCTCACCCAGGCTGGCTGGGTACCCCAGCAGGGACCACTACTCTGAAGGGGCTGTGTCCAGCCTGCAAACAGCCATCAGCCCCTCACCTAGGATGGCCATACCCTCATGGGGTGAGGGTCCCCACTGGGGGCCTTGGCCAGTCTGAAAACAGCCATCAGCCCCTCACCCAGACTGGCCAGGCACCCCAGCAGGGACCCCCCACCCTGAAGGGGCTGTGGCCAGCCTGAAAACGGCCTTCAGCCCCTCACCCAGGCTGGCCAGGCACCCCAGTGGGGACCCCCACCCTGAAGGGGGTGTGGCCAGTTTGAAAATGACCCTCAGCCCCTCACCCAGGCTGGCCAGGAACCCCAGTGGGACCCCCACTCTGATCCGGGACACCCTTCAAGGCAAACCAGTCGGCCCCCACCCATGCACCAGGCCTCTATCCTATATAATAAAAGGGTAATATGCAAATTGACCCTAACAGCAGAGCGACTGGGAACCACTGGTCACTATGACACATACTGACCACCAGGGGGCAGACGCTCAATGCAGGAGCTGCCCCTTGGTGGTCAGTGGCTCCCACAGGGGGAGCTCTGCTCAGCCACAAGCCAGGCTGACAGCTGCCAGTACAGAGGTGGTGGTGGGAGCCTCTCCCGCTTCCTCAGCAGCACTAAGGATGTCCGACTGCAGCTAGGCCTGCTCCCCACTTGCAAGTGGACATCCCCCGAGGGCTGCCGGGCTGCCAGAGGGATGTCTGACTGCCAGCTTAGGCCCAATCACCTGGGGAGTGAGCCTAAGCCAGCAGGTGGTCATTCCCCGAGGGGTCCCAGACTGCAAGAGGGCACAGGCCAGGCTGAGGGACCCTCCCGAGTGCACAAATTTTTGTGCACCGGGCTTCTAGTATAATAGTATAAAATTAAAATACAAAATATTTTAATATCGCTATTCACCCTTTTTCTATCATAGAAGTGTCAGAGATGAAAGAAAATTAGTAAAATGTATATGAAAATAATATATAAATTGATGAATAAATAAACAATATTCTGTTGACAACATCACTTTTTTTCGGCTTCAGAAGTACGTTGTGCTAATAGTTGGTCTTCCGATACATTCTGGCGTTGCATGCGATTGGCGCCCGTGAGAGCTTTTTATGCCTCGTGCATGCGCGAATCAGTGTTTATTTTTAAATTGCCAGTGCGCGTCATATGTGCCAGTCGGTCGGACGGTCGGATGTACATACGGTCGGTCACTTAGCCTTTTAGATAGATAGATAGATAGATAGATAGATAGATAGATAGATAGATAGATAATAGATAGATAGATGATAGATAGATAGATAGATAGATAGATGATAGATAGATAGATAGATAGATAGATAGATAGATAGATAGATAGATAGATAGATAGATAGATAGATAGATAGATAGATAGATAGATAGATAGATAGATAGATAGATAGATAGATAGATAGATAGATAGATAGATAGATAGATAGATAGATAGATAGATAGATAGATAGATAGATAGATAGATGATAGATAGATAGATAGATAGATGATAGATAGATAGATAGATAGATGATAGATAGATAGATAGATAGATAGATAGATAGATAGATAGATAGATAGATAGATAGATAGATGATAGATAGATGATAGATAGATAGATGATAGATAGATGATAGATAGATAGATAGATAGATAGATAGATAGATAGATAGATAAAATGACACATGACTAGGCTTTTCTTCCCATCTCCCATATAGTTTCTTCTTTAACATGACTGGAGAGAAACGCTGTTTCCTCTTCTAAAACCTGTTGCCAATGGGTGAGGCTCATGCCTTCACTACGCGCTGGCACTCTGCTCCATGTCTCCCAGGGCATGCGCTTGGAGTGCTGGGCTAGTGGGAACATTGGGTTGATGTATAGTTGATTCTAAAGTCTGGACTGAACAGTTAGCTCCTGGGCTCTGCTTGCTCCTCTGGTATGCGTTGTCTGTCAGCACTTGCTCACATTGGTGACTGTCAAACACCTATTAGCTTGACACCCTGTGTATGTAGATCTGGAAGTGAATGGGCCAGTGAAGAAATCAGCAAGGCTCTCAGCGTGTCATGTCAGAAACTGTGGTCTTTGTCATCAGAGCTGTCATATGAAAGGGGCGGGTTAAGATGCTGTACAAGATTTGGCCTGTTTTTCCTCCTGTCGGCTTTTGGCGCCGACAGCCCATGTGACAAGCCAGAGTGACCACAGCGTAATGCGCAGGACAGGGAGCACGGCGAGGGCAGCATTAGTGACAGTGTATTTCACTGGCTTATCTCTCTTTCATAATTAAAGTGTGAGTTCCATGTTGGACAGGGGCCTCCCTTGTTTTGTTTATTGCTGTATCCGCAGCACCTAAAACATGCTGGTGACACTCAGTAAATGGCCGCTGGATGAATGAATAAAAGGGACATGCTTGGTATTTATTTTTAGTTTCACTTCACTTCCTTCCAGCTCCTTTTCCTTGGCGGTTGCTGCCTGTGCTGTTCACATTTGGGGCCAGACATTTCTTTGCTGTAAGGACTGTCCTGTGCATTGTAGGGTGGTTAATGACATCCTTGGCCCCAACCCACTAAATGTCAGTGGTACTGCCCTCTTGGTTGTAATGAACAAAAATGTCTCTAGATGTTGCCTGTGGGGGAGTGGCGGGGAGCATCACCCCAAAATGAGGAACACTGGTCCTCACAGTCGTTTTAGGCTGGACAAAAAGGAAGCTCTCACAGTCCCAGAAGGGACCGGAAGTTCATGGAGTGTAACTTCTCCTACTGTCTATAGTCACCCAGCTTGTCCAGCGGCACCCACCTTCTCCGTCAGCAGGTGAGCCCAGCACCCATGCACCTTTGACACACACAGTGACAGAACCATTCCGAGCGCAAGTCTGCACCGTGCTGGCGCCATGCGCCCGTGGAGACACGGTCCTTAGAGCCTTGAAAGCGTTGCCCTTTCAAAAAGACAAAGGAACGGATGGCTCCGCCTGCCCACCACACACAGCCCCCACCCCCTCCTGCCTCCCTTTATAAACATTGTTCTCAACCGTCTCCCTGGCCCTTCCAGAACCATTTTGGAAATGGAAGGCAGGAACGAAGAAAGAGGAAGAGAAGAAAGAGGAAAAAGGAGGTAAGAAGAACATGGTGTGGCCCCACCCAAAATTACCACCCAGAATAAGTAGCCTTGGTCCTTGGGCAGCCAGAGTCAGGCCTGTCCCATCAGCTCAAACCAAACAAAGGTTAGGATGGTTCTGCCACTGTCTGCACAGTCCTCTTCTTCATAAAAAGTATCTAGAAGTCACTGAAGATGCATCTCAGATTCCTCACCAGGACAGGCCATGGGACCGGTGGCCTCTTTGGGTGGAATAGAGTCAGAAATGCGCCGGAATGGCGCTGACGAAAGCATGTGGGTTGGAAACAGGAACGTGTCAGCTGTGGCACAGCCCTGAGGTGGGAGTCTGCTCACTGGCCTCTCACTTACCTGATTCTGGGGAACTTGCCCTCCCAGTTCACCGACTGTCACCACCTCTAAGCTGGGGAGCTTCCCCCGAGTATCCTGCAGAACAACGGGCAGCTTCTCGTGAGGCACCATTGCTGGGGAGGGGGGCTGACTGGCTCTCTGCCTGCAGAAGGCACGTGCATGTGGAGTGCCCGCCACCGGCCCCTGCACGGAACCACCGGCCCAGTTGCTGGTTGGTCCTCCTCAACCAGCCCCGTTGGTGGCACGGGCAGGGTTCCAGGACTCTCAGAATGAGCCGGCCTCGGCCGGGGGCTCTACCTTGGGGAGTTCGCTTACTTCTATGTCAGCAGACCAAGCTTGCTCCTTCCCAAATTTCCCTCTTGTTTCTCCCCCTTCCTCCCACCCCCGAGATTTTGATTCCTCTGACATCTGTGTGCCAAGGTGTGAAGCTATGTATTGCTTACTGTCTGTGAATTTACATTTGCTTGTTAGATGGCTGTGGTCATGCCCACTGTGTCTGCTCTTCTTAAGGGGCTCCAGGAGCAGGAGAAAGAATTACAGTGAGAAAGAGGGAAGGCAGTAGAGCTTGGTGGTTCAAAGCCTAGTCTCTGGTCCACTGCCAGCCGAGCTTCAAGTTCTGGGTGTGACCCTGGGCAAGTCACTAGTCTCACTGCCTCGTCTCTCACCTGGGAACGGGTCTAATGAAAGTAGCTGCCACGCTCAGTGGCGGGAGGATGGAAAAGGGTAACGCAGAGAAGTGCTGACCACACTGCTGGGCAGTTGGGCGAATTGTCAACCCCCAAACACCAGCTATTAGTCAAAGAGGTTTCCCAAGAAGGGTTTGGTGGGGTTTTGTTTTTGTTTGTTTTTTACGTTTCCTGCTCTGACTCAGTTTTCTTTTTTATTTTAGGTTCCATTTTTTGGGCGGAGGATGCTTCACACGTGTCCATGCATGCCTGGCTTAGCCTGCTCACGAGCTGCAGTCAACCGGTTTGTTTGTTTAGCCCGAAAGTAATCACTTTAGAGCAGAAACTTGAATGTGAGCAGCCACATGATGCCTGTAAGATCTATTCCTTGCTATTGTGCCAGACATATAGTGTGCCAGACAGAAAAGCTAGTGCTTCCGCAACCTTCCAAGTGACATTTCTAGCTTTGATTTTTAAAAGACCTCTTTTTACTGAAAAACACTTAGTTTGGGGTAGAAATGTAATGTTCAAGGCATTATGGAACTGGTTCTCATTTCCCTGTTTGGGTTAGGATTTGGTTTGGCTTTTTTTAATGCCAATAACACCCATTTTCACAAAAATGAGGACAATAAGAATTTGATATTTTGTTACAGACACTTCTTTTTTCTTAAACCCTTGTCTCCCATCCCTGCCCCACACACATCCTTGCTCACCCTTTGGTCTCTCACTCCTCAGAGAATTTTAAGGGCCTCACTTTGTTCTTTGCCATTTACCTCCCTGTCCTTGTGGCATTTTAAACTATGTGTGTGGTGGGGGAGGCGTGTCCATATCGTCCAGTTTGCTGGTGGAGTCACTGATGAAAATCAAGCTTCTTGATGATTCCTAAGCAGTGACGAGTGGAGAGCTACACCAGACCCCTCAGCATCTCTGACATGGAGTGAGGCTGGGAGCTGCTAGACGCCCATGGAGCCCGTCTGCGCAGGCCTCGGGTCTGCTGGGACCGTGGGAGGACAAAGGAATGGAGGGTCCAATTAATTTAGTCCAGATTGATAGGTGGGTTTTTAAAGAATTCCTGATACAGCAGTGTTTCAGCTGGTGTGCCCCTGCACACTGGTGAGCCACGAGAATTTTTGACACCTGCAGCACCTGCCTCTTTCCCTTAGATTGTCAAATTAAAAATGACAACAGCTAACACACAATATCCATCTGGTGTGAACGACTCAAATTTATACTTTTTTTTTTGTCAGACTGGCAAAATATTCTTTTCGGTGTGCTGCAGAGGTTCAGTAATTAGTTTATGTGCAAGTCGCTACAGTACAGTATTACATAATTTCTTTTTTTATGAAGCTAATTTTATTAGAAAACTCTTGTAGTTAGAGATGTTCCCAAAAATGTCACTAGAAGAGGAAGTACTGGTTTTATTCTGGCATAAAACTAGTTACCCTTTAAAAGCAGTATTAACTTGTAATTTAAACTTCATGTGTAACCAAAAGTTCTATTGTAATGGATTGCCTGCCATCCTGCCATTTGTACCTGGATCACTATTGCTGTGTAAAAATTCTGTATCAGAATTTCTGTATCAAAAATCCTGTATCAGTACTGTATACCCCTTGATTTATTTTAATATTATATCCTTATTTTTGTCACAGTTGTCTTCAGTTTTTATCACAAGCTGATTTTTATATAGCCCACATCCCAAACTTGGCAAAGACTCTTCAGTTGGTCAAATAACACTATTGTCTGCGCATTTTCACTTTACATACAGGAAAAGTCTGTTTGCATGAATGTTAAGGAAGTACAAAAACCATGTAAGTCAGCGAGGTTTTGGAGAATGAAGGAAAATTATGACATAGAGAACCGACTGCAACCAGAACGACTCATGGGGTGTCACTGCCGATTCAGCAGGTGGTGACGGCGTGTCCGCCCCGGTGCTGGGGCAGGTGCCGGTGCTCCCCAGACAGCGATGCCAGCGTGGCCTGGCCTTGAAACCCAGCAAGTGTTGTAAATGGAGTCAATGTCACAAATAAATGGCTTATGAAATGTGTCTCACTGACTAAAGCTCGTCGTGCCAACCTACTAGAAGGTCCCGTGGGAGCTGTTTACTCCGCCAGGCCTTTGGCTCCCCGGCGAGCCGCTCAGAAACGTGGGGGTTGTGCTGTGCTAATTACCGTCCTTGGTCACGGAAGTAGTGGTTCGGGTTCAGTTTAGTCTGTGTTCAAGGAACATTCCTTAGTGAGTTCATTGAGAAAAAAATTTAGACTTCAGCAAGTGGAATCATGGGTAAAAAAAACAGGCAGTTCAGCAATTTTGCTAAATGTTGTTTTCACATAAGTGGTGAAAACAATTGGATCAATCATCCAGTTTTTATTTTTTTAATTGATTTCAGAGAGGAAGGGAGAGGTAGAGAGAGAGAGAAATATCAATTATGAGAGAGAATCATTGATCGGCTGCCTCCTGCACACCCCTTACTGGGGATTGAGCCTGCAACCCGGGCATGTGCCCTTAACCAGAATCAAACCAGGGCCCTTCAGTCCGCAGGCTGACGCTCTATCTACTGAACCAAACCGGCTGGGGCTCAATCATCCATTTTCCCATGTTAAAAGTCATATAATCAACTTTAAAAAAAAATACTTTTGCAAATACCAACTCAGTTTTTAACATGGAGGACTGAACGCAGCCGAGAGCGAGGTGGCCTAGAGCTGTACCTACGGACTCACGGCCACCCAGAAAACCAGCTTTGTCCTTTGATACTCTGCCCTGGGTTATTTTTATGGAGGAATAATACTCCCTTTTTTGTTTTTGTTAAATCTCACTTGAGGGTATTTTTTCTATTGCTTTTCAGAGAGAGTGGCAGGGAGTGAGAGAGAGTGAGAGACAGAGAGAGAGAAACATTGATGTGAGAGACACATCAACTGGTTGTCTCCCACACATGGCCCAGCCGAAGGCTGGGAGTGAACCTGAAACCCAAGTAACCCAGGACCCTTCGGTGCACAGGCCGCCACTCTAGCCACGGAACAGACCGTCCAGGACAGTGCTTCCTTGTTTAGTGTATAGTTCTGTTTAGTTATTGTTTTGACGTATTACCAAAGTTAGCTAGCACCTTTCAAATATTTCAAAAATACTTGTAATCAGACCTCATGGAGACTCTTTTTTATAATAATTCTATGCGAAGAACACAAAGTGTTGCTTTATGAAGACTGTGGCATGGTTTCTGCCAGGCCCAGCATGGCCTCTCACTAAAATTGGGACTTCATAGGCCAGAATTTCTACAAGATAAGGGACAGCGACGTGCTCTGTAGTAAGTGTGAATGGATGGGATCCGTTATGAGGTAGAAATGAGTCTTATGCCTGAAGCTACTGACCAAACTCAAGTGCACCTTTGGATTTCACTGAAAACATAGACTTCCATGAAAACTCATTTCTGACTTCAACAACCTTATTTTAAAAGCAACACTTTTTTTGCAATATTAACCAGTTGGCTTTATTAAATTTGTTAATGAAATATGATTAATATGATCTAAACATTAATTTTCAATTGTTTTTCTTTTTATTTTATTTTAATTTATCTTTATTGTGATAGTATTACAGATGTCCCCTTTGTTTTTGTTTTTTCCATTGACCCCCTCCACCCTCCTCCTGGTCCTCCCAGGCCTACCCCACACTAATGTCTGTATCCATGGATTACGCAGATCTCTATATAAAATCCTAATATGCAAATACACCGAACAGCAGAACAACCGAACAACCGAACAACTGGTCGCTATGATGTGCACTGACCGCCAGGGGGGTGTGCGCAAAACATGGTGGGGGTCGACAGCGGGCAGCAGAGCATGGAACATGGCAGGCATTGGCTGCAGCGGGATGGTGGAGCAGGTGAGCAGGGGCGCCAGACCAAGGCGGGGCTCTGGTTGCTGTCACTGGGGTGAGCCTCTGGTGGTTACTGAAAATTCTTTGCTCCCTTGCGCCACAGTCCCACCCAGCACTCACACCCACTGCCGGCGCCCAGAGCCAGCCCCAATCACTCAACGCCATCAGCAAGTTCAAGAGGCAGCTGCCGGCCTCAATTGCCCCTCAGGGCTTCTCCACCTCCCTCCCCCGGCTCCTGAGGAGCTATCGAGGCAGCAGTTGTCAATTGCACCCACTAATGGCAAAGGCCCCATTTGCACCAACTGCTGGCGCTGGCCCCAATCACTCCACACCGTCAGAGGTTGCCAGCGGGGCTGGCACCATCAGCGAATGGGAATGGTGGTGGCAGGAGTGGGGCCGACAGCAGACAGGGGACTGGGGGCCACAGCAGGAGGGGTGAGGCATGGGCGCAGAGGATGGGCCGAGACCCACCCCTGTACCCACCACAGCTTCGTGGCCCACAGTTTCTTTCAAGGTGCACAAATTCATGCACTGGAACCCTAGTATGCATATAAATTCCCTGATTAATCTCTTCCCACCCACCTTCCCTCTGATTTTTGTCAGTCTGTTCCATGCTTCTATGTCGCTGCATCTATTTTATCAGTTTATTGTGTTTATTAGATTCCACATATGAATGAGATCATGTGATCCTTGTCTTTCTCTTATTTCACTTAATATAATACTTTCCAGGTCCCTCCATGCTGTCTCAAAGGATAAGAGATTCTTCTTTTTTATAGCTTGCATAGTATTCCATGGTGTAAATGTACCACAGCTTTTTTATCCACTCATCTACTGATGGGCACTTGGGCTGTTTCCAGGTCTTAGCTATTGTAAATTGTGCTGCTATGAACATAGGGGTGCATACATTCTTTCTGATTGGTGTTTCAGGATTCTCTGGATATATTCTTAGAAATGGGATCACTGGGTCAAATAGCAGTTCCATGTTTAATTTTTTGAGGAAACTCCATACTGCTTTCCACAGTGGCTGCACCAGTCTGCATTCCCACCAGCAGTGTACAAGGGTTCTCTTTTCTCCACATCCTCGACAGCACTTGTTTATTTGCTCACTAGAGGCCCAGTGCACAAATTTTTGTGCACTTGGAGGGGGTAGTCCCTCAGCCCGGCCTGTGCCCTCTCGCAGTCTGGGACCCTTCGGGGAATGACCACCTGCTGGCTTAGGCCTGCTCCCCAGGGGATTGGGCCTAAGCTGGCAATCAGACATCCCTCTGGCAGCCTGGGAGCCCTCGGGGGATGTCCACTTGCCAGCGGGGAGCAGGCCTAAGCTGCAGTCTGACATCCTTAGTGCTGCTGAGGAGGCGGGAGAGGCTCCCACCACCACCTCTGTACTGGCAGCTGTCAGCCTGGCTTGTGGCTGAGCAGAGCTCCCCCTGTAGGGGCACACTGACCACCAGGGGGCAGCTCCTGCATTGAGCATATGCCCCCTGGTGGTCAGTGTATGTCATAGTGACCAGTCATTCCCAGTCGTTCTGCTGTTAGGGTCAATTTGCTTATTACCCTTTTATTATATAGGATAGAGGCCTGGCGCACAGGTGGGGGCCAGCTGGTTTGCCCTGAAGGGTGTCCTGAATCAGGGTGAGGGTCCTGCTGGGGTTCCTGGCCAGCCTGGGTGAGGGGCTGATGGCTGTATGCAGGCTGGTCACAACCCTTTCAGGGTGGAGGTCCCCACTGGGGTGCCTGGCCAGCCTGGGTGAAGGGCTGATGGCTGTTTGCAGGCTGGTCAAGCCCCACCCAGTGGGGATCCTCAGCCCATGGAGGTTGGGGCAGCCTGGGTGAGCAGCTGATGGCTGTTTTCAGGCTGGCCACACCCCCTTTAGGGTGGGGGGTCCCAACTGGGGTGCCTGGCCAGTCTCGGTGAGGGGCTAATACCGTTTTCAGGCTGGCCAAGCCCCCCGGCAATGGAAGCTCCCAGCCTCTTCTTTTTTTCTTTTTTGTTTTATTCTGAGATTTATTTACCTTCTATAATTGAAACTTTGTTGCCTTCAGTGGAGCTCAGAGCCAGCCGCAGCAGGCGGGAAGCTTGGCTTCCTCCATCACTGGACCAACCAAGCCTCCTGCTCACTCCAGCTCCATGGCTGCCGGCCACCATCTTGGTTGGGTTAATTTGAATATAGTCACTCTGATTGGGTGGTGGGTGTGGCTTAAGGTGTAGCAAAGGTATGGTCAATTTGCATGTTTGTCTTTTATTAGATTAGATGGTAGCTATTTTGACAGGTGTGAGATGGTACCTCATTATCATTTTAATTTACATCTCTTGGATAATTAGTGACTCCCAGAATTTTTTATATGTTTCTTGGCCTTCTTATGTCCATGTTAGAGAAGTGTCTATTTAGGTCCTTTGCCCATTTTTAAATTGGATTGTTTGTCTCCCTTTGTATCATTGCCAAATATGTTCTCCCATACAGTGGGTTCTCTTTTCATTTTGTTGATGGTTTCTTTTGCTGTGCAGAAGCTTTTTCTTTTGATGTAGTCCCATTCATTTATTTTCTCTGTAGTTTCCTTTCCTCTAGAACAGGGGTCCTCAAACTTTTTAAACAGGGGGCCAGTTCATTGTCCCTCATACCATTGGAGGACCGGACTATAGTTTAAAAAAAAAAAAACAAATATGAACAAATTCCTATGCACACTGCACATATCTTATTTTGAAGTAAAAAAAAAAAAAAAACGGGAACAAATACAATATTTGTATTTGCATGTGGCCCGTGGGCCATAGTTTGAGGACCCCTGCCCTAGAAGATGTATCCATAAACATATTGCTAGGAGAGATGTCTGAGATTTTGCTGCCTATGGTTTCTTCTAGGGTTTTTATGGTTTCTGGACTTACATTTAAGTCCTTTATCCATTTTGAGTTTATTCTTGTGTATGGTGTAAGTTGGTGGTCTAGTTTCATTTTCTTGCATGTACCTGTCCAATTTTCCCAGCACCATTTATTGAAGAGACTATTTTTACTCCATTTATGCTCTTGCCTCCTTTGTCAAATATTAATTGAGCGTAATGGCTTGGGTCAGTTTCTGGATTCTCTGTTCTGTTCCATTGATCTATATGCCTGTTCTTGTGCCAGTACCAGGCTGTTTTGATTACAGTGGCTTTATAGTATAACCTGATAT